GTTGTTTTATCTTTTAGCTCGAGAGGACTGCTAATGGCGAAACAAGATCGGGCGTGGTCGGGTATTTAGTACCTATTGCTGCACAAGATATCGCGACGAGTAACATAACTATTTTTGTAACTAATTTATTTTACATTGACGAGCTGCAATGCCTGCAATTTATCAGTCACTCTAATTTCTAACGATAACAAACAAATCAACTAGATGGCGCTTACTGCACAGATTTTTATAGATACTGCCGGCTATTCTGTTTTGTTTACGATTAGCGCCATTTACCCATGTTAGCAAGCGTTAATTTTTAAATTATTTTGTAACACGCAATGCCATCTATCGATGCAAATATGCATTTGTCAAAAGTTCAGATAATTTTGGCTCATGATCTATATTTGAATAATTTCATATTAAAGTGGAATTAATTGATGTCCATTGCCATTTTTTAACCGATTTCAAAAAAAGAAGGTTCTCAATTCGACAGAATGTTTTTTTTGTTTGGTTTGTATGTTACGCGATAACTCCGGCGCATTTGTGAACCGATTTTGATGATTCTTTTTTTGTTGGAAAGAGGGTACCTCAGATGTGGTCCCATTTAAATTTGAAGAAAGTATTCCACGTCTAAAGGAACCACGTCCCTTACTTAACTAGGGGACGAATGACTTTTGAGGTCGGTTTTATTATAACATCAAGTGACGGGACGAGCAAGTCGTGCGCCTGATATTAAGCTACACGCCTGTCCATAACAGTTGCAGTGCAACTCAGAGACTAAAATCGCAAAGATCTGAGGTGCCCTGCCACTGCGCCCGTGACCCTGAGACAAGGTGCCTATAATTTCACCACCAAAAATTTAAGGCGGGATTTTGATTTTTTTCGTCTGTAAGGAGATTAGTCCTGTTGAGTTATGGTCCATGTACGGGACAAAGACAAGTGGACTAGTTTAAACAGACAACCTTAATATTTCTAGCGAATCAATGAAGTACAAGGTGATAAAAAAACAAGTACAGCATACATTTACCAAGATTGTAAAGTCGCAAAGTTAATAAATCATACGCAGGTTATTGAGTTCGTTTCAAATAGACACAGAGATACCTCCTTTCCATCTATCGATTTTGCATGTCGCCTAAAGATTTTTTAGCTTTAGCTTAACAATAAACCTGAATCGCTTACGTACGGCGTTGTTGAAAGCCGAAAAAATTCAATAAAAAAAATCTATAACAGGGGGTCTACTCTCGATCTCCGTTTGACATCCGTCCGAAAGAATTACTGTCAAATAAGTAACATTCGACAAAATTAAAAGACAGTATCAAGTATGAAGCTTCATTCGCAT